TGGCAAGGATTATGGGTGGGGTTCATCAAGTTTGTTGTTTGGTAAAATTACACCACTGCCCTCGAATGTATTTATTTGTCTATGAAATATTACTATAATCATAATTTTCACTGTAGGTTTGACCATTATAACTTAATTTTGACTTCATCAGGCCATCGATATAATTGATCATTTTTTTTTTCAAACGTTAATTATATTAATAACTTAAAAACTCAAAAGAGTACAACCGAAGTGTCAAATGACACACTGGAACCAGAAGACTGGACTACCCCATTCTCATCACACACAAGGGGTACAACCTCCATCAAGGAGACAAACTAACACAAAGCAAAACTCTAAAAAAGTAGACAAGCTGCACTGAAAGCAGACAAAGCTGCACTAAAAGCAGACACAGCTGCACTAACAAACCAACAAAAACATAACGATAATAATAAAAATACACACCTAATGTATAAATAAACTAAAACCTCCCCTACACCTAACAGACTCGTAGCCTAACCACCGGGGACCACACACAATCCAGATCCACTAGCAAAGAGATCCAACAGAGCCACAAACCGAAACCTCAATCCCGAAAACTACGGTCGTGCCGCCTAGACGGATCTGAATAAGAGACTGCTCTCGGTTCAGATCTGGACTCCGAAAATCATCCTCGCTGGGGGAAGTGATGGAGCTCGCCACGTCGGAAAACATCCGCGTTAGGGGACACCAACTCGCCTCGTCGGAGTGCTCGAAAGAGGGATCTAAAGGATGGCAAGCCGGACCAAAAGACCCAAAACATACACACCAAGACTCCCGACGGAAAGATGGTCGGTACCTCTTCGAAGCTTGGCATGAACTCTTGCTGTCGTCGGTCTTGTCCATGGGAATATATAATTGATCCAATGGTCCATAATCATTCTTATTACTTAAACTATCTACCATTCTCATATAATATATATATATATATATATATATATATATATACTAGTAATCACCCGTGCGATGCACGAGAAATTTATAAACTATGTGCTTTTTATAAGGCAATTTTGTATATGAATTGTGTAATAACTAATAATGCAATGATCATAAGAATAAACATATAAACATATAATTAAACTGAAAAAATCATAAATTACTAAACTCTTCCCTATATACAACATTATTGGTTTGATTCTTTGGCACATCAGCTTCTCAACAAATTAAGATTTCAAACCTCTTCGGCTAGTGACACGGGAGACAACAACATATAACTGACCATGACCGAACACTGGTTTCTTAAGAAATAACCCAACATGAGATAAGGATTGTCCTTGGCTCTTGTTTATAGTCATGACGTAAGAAACCATAATGGAAAACTGTCGCCGCTAGAATTTGAAAGGAATTCTAACATCCGGAGGACTTATGACCATTCTGTGAATCAACACCTTATCACCAACATGATCTCATGTGAGTATCTTACACTCAAGAGAATGAGTGGATACCTTTGTCACAACCAATCGTGTACTATTACACAGACCCATAGAATGATGCATGTTTCGCAACAACATGACTGGAGTTCCAGCCTTCAAATACAACTCGTGGTTTGATATTCTGAAACATTTGATACTATTAAAAAACTCGAGAGTATGGAGATCGAACAAAACATCATTATTAGAATTCGATTTACACGTACTGTCAGAGCTCAAGTACATATGACCATCCAACAAATTCAACAATGTCATGTACTTGTTGATAGACTTGGCCACATCCAACATGGCGCTAATATAGCCCTATCCTTCAAATAACTTGGATCTTCAGGTGTCTCATTAGACATTGGATATGGCTTTCAACGATTTGAGCAATAGGATCATCAGATGACTGAAGCAAAATGTTCTTGGGTATGTCTATCGGTGCACATCCATCATTCGACCCCCCAATAGTTCCATCTCCGATGTTGGCTATCCAATCAGCAAGCCGTGCAAGCTCATCACGTTCATCCGAATTAGCAAGCCCCTGAAGACGCATGTTTTTCGTAAGCCTAAGCACAATACAACTCCCCCATATGTCAGATGCATTAACGACAACATTGATTATGTCCTGACGGCTACCCTTTGGAATGACAAGAAGAATTTGCCAGAAATCTCCACAAAACACAACCGACTTCCCACCAAACGGTTATTAACGTGAGTTAATATTTTGTCGGAATTCTCTATCAAAAGCAATATTTTGAATTAATATATTTTATCTGTTGAAAGTAATGTACATCCTCTTTTATAATGTTTTATGTGGCATGGTTCCTATCCCTATTAAAAATATATATATGTATTGTATTATTTGAACTGTTAGTTATCTAATGTCAAGTGTAGTATTAAATTTAAAATGAAGAAACTGAAATCAAGTGTATTTCGGGCTCCATAGCAATTTAATATTAAATTTGTACATCCTCTTTTATGAGATTTTTAAGTTATGGTTCCTAGTAAAACATGTATTTGTATTATATTATTTACATTGTTAGTTATCTAATGCCAAGTGTACTTTTAAATTTAAATTGAAGAAACCGAAATCAAGCGTTTTGAGTTAATCACGTACCCAAATGTATTTCTGGCTCCATGGCAATTACATATTAAATTTAAATTGCACAAACTGAAATCAATTGTTTTCATTAAATTCAAATTCTTAAATGTAAGTTCTCAAATGTATTTCGACATCCATTTTAATTAAATATTAAATTTAAATTGCATAAAGTAAAATCAAATGTTTTGATTTAAGTGAAACTCTTAAGTGCATGTTTTCAAATGTAATTTAATTTTAAAAGCATGTTTTTCAGTTTTAAAAGCATTTATTTCCTTAAGTGCATTTATTTCCTTATGAAGTGTTTTGATTTAAGTGAAACTCTTAAGTGCATGTTTTCAAATGTAATTCATACGTCTAACAGAAATGAAGTGTTTAGTTTGAAGTCAAACTCTTATGCAAGTTTTAAAAGCATTTATTTCCTTATCTTTTGGTTTTATTAAATTGTCTAAATATAGTATGTCAAAGATATTATTTATTTGGTCAAAAAAGTTACTATAAATGATTTAAACAATAACCTTTTTACACACACACACACACATACAAATACATACATATATATATATATATAAACTTATGATATAATAAGTGTGATGATATTTATTACTATAGGTAAAACCAGTTGAAGCACATATTGGGGGTTATACGGTATGATATTTAAAATATGTATATAATAATTCTACTTGAAACTTATTTAGTTTACATTGAAACATGAAAAAGAATAATTAACTGTGAAGTGAATAAGATTCACCCGGGCTCCTTCAACTCGAACCGGCCTCCGTACCTGCAGAACCCAACGCCGGGTGGCCCCGGCGTCGGGCCTCCGATGCCTAAGTC